AAAAAAAAAAAACAGCAATAATTCTGAAATAATAGCTTTATAAAAAACAAACATTAACAGAACATCCAGTCCTTTCTTTTTACACCTCCACACAGAAGAGCCCTGCTTATCTAATGCTGACGCGTTAATCCATTCAGTCCACCCCAAAACATATAAATAAATAAATACATACATACACACAAACACAAAATAAATAAATAAATAAAATGCCCAAAACACACCAGTGCAAAGATCAAGCAGCATCTATAAGCTAATTTCCTTTGCTGCACATAATTTAAGGCCTCAAGCACGGCTAGGTTTCCTTTTCTGTTTACCCATCTTGTGCAGTCCCTGCAGCAGTACTGTGTAGGGTCACTATTTCCACAGTTATCTGCACCACTGCTTCAGGACACAGTTCACACTAGTAAACAGTGGGAGTGAAGCTCTTACTAAAAGCCAGGTCGTTTTCAAGTGTGGCAGACGTGCCGCTTAAGGCACACCGCAACGTAGCGTAGCACACTTAGAGACAGCACATACATACTGTGTACACTCAGAAAGAGACCATAACTCTTAAAAGTTCAGCATCTTGCTTTGGTGAAAACATCCAGCGCTCTCTAGCAGCAAACTAATCACAAATGCTGGACGGATTCACAGAGAGGAAAAGACAGGCATCAGGTTAATGATTCAATAGGAAAGCCTTTTGTTTTGCTTCTTAACAAACATATTGTGGAAATCTCAATTTCAGTCATCCTTTTTAGACTTTCTGCCTATCATCTTCAAAGTCTTTGTTGGGTCTGTGGCCTGTTCTCTGTACACTGCTAGAACGATCCAAGGTCATCTGGAAGGGGAGTTTGAAAAAAGAAATCATCCTCACAAGAGTTTCTGCAGGGAAGAGTCACAAGTACCCAATGACATGTTGAACTTCTCTTTTGAGATAACATGACATTCAAAATGGATGAGGCGCTAGTAAAACGTGTACCTGTGAATCCTCCTGTGAGGAAATATCAGATCATTTGCTGATTTCATTCATAATTCTTTACAGCCAATTGCAGGAAATCCCACATAATATTACTTATTACCGGTGCTAACAATGCGCTCCCTTCTAACTGAAGCAATGATCAGGGCACCCATCCTGTCGAGGGTTGAATTTGTGGCTATCGGTAACTTATCAAGGGCTAAAAGATGTGGGAGCATGCTAAAGTGCCAGGGATTTCTCCCAACTAAAACATCAACCCACATACGAAGAGCAGGCCCTAGATGATTAAAAAATGATTTTTTTTTTTTACGATTTTGCTACTTAAGACTGTCACGTTCAGTTTTTAAATAAAGCTACAAAAATGCTGCAAATGTTTCAGAAGGCGCTTGCTAGCTTGTTTCCCAGAGTAATGTGAGTCAGCATGGTCTGCACCAGCTCTGGCAGGTTGTACTCGTGCTTCCAGCCCCAGTCCTGTCTCGCTGCGCTGTCCTCCAGTGCTTTTGGCCAGCCGTCGGCTGAAAAGATGTAGCAGAGAAGAAGATTATAGTAGCCAGTGAGCACTCTGAAAGGATAAAACTACGACACTGGTATCCCAGCAGTCTCACCGATCGCCTGCCTGACAGGATCCACATTATAGGTAACCTTGAAGTCAGACAGGACTTTCTGGATCTCTCGGGTGAGGTCCTGTGGCGTGAAGCTCATGGCGTTGATGTTGTAGGTGCGGCTGACGAGCGCGTCGTCTGGAGCCTCCAGGAATTCCACAGTGGCCCTGATACAGTCATCTGGGTAGGAGAGGTAGACGGAGGAAGAGATGAGCGAAACGGGAGTGCTTCAGTGCCGCCAAAACAAAACGCATCAAAGTTTGCTTTACCGATGTACATCATAGGCAGCCGTGTGTCGCTGCGCAGGTTGCACTCAAACTGACCGCTCTTCACAGCTGCATGAAAGATCTGGACAGCGTAGTCTAGAAAACAGTGAAAAGAGACCATCAGAATCAGACTGCATCAAAGACATGGAGCAAAAAAAACACCCGTTTCCAAATGGTGCGCCCTCTTCCTTACATTGTCAGTTAGCCTGCACCTTTAGTATTTCCAGAGACATACAAGATAAGTGGTGGAGGTGATGATGGTGATATCATAAATGCATCTGTTATGTGTCAGTTGCCATCAAAATTATCGTTGAGCCTCTATACCCGTTCATTTAAAAAGGAAGTGAACCAAAACTTTAACCATATTGCAAATGTGATTGTTGAGGGCCAACACTTATTCCTGAAAGGTCTTTGGGTATTTGTATCTCAGGTCTAGTCACCTGTGGTTCCTCCTCCTGGCTGGGAGTCAGCCGAGATGATGCCTGGATACCTGAGACAGCGGAAATCCAGCCCATACCTTTGGTGGTAGTACTGATAATGGGAGGAAAAGACTCAAAAACACCAGAAATAAGATGAATAGAGGTCAGAATGAGGACTGGAGCTACAACAGCTGTAAGTGCGGAGAAGAAATACGGGTATGCGTTTTCAAAGTCTCTACAGAGTGTGTCTCACCTCACCCATCAGCTCCGCATGGACCTTGGATACACCGTAAATAGTGCGTGGCCTCTGCACACACAGATCAGGAGTGGGGTCTTTAGGGGAGGATGGACCGAAGGCACCGATTGTGCTGGGGACAAACACACGCAGACCATGTTCGGTGGCTATATCTAATATGTTATGGAAACCTAGAGAGAAAGAGAGGCTGTGCATAAGTCTGCTATGTTAATGCTATGTTAATGCTATGTTAATGCTATGGTACCCGCGTTACAGAGGTGTCTACCTGTGATGTTGACCTCTCTAGCCAGGGCCACGTTGTGCTCCCCCACAGCGGACAGCACAGCTGAGTAGTGAACCAGCCAGCTGATGTTATTGTTGACCACAATCTCCCTGAGGTTCTTATAGTCCAGAATGTCAGAGAAGATGAATGGACCTGTGCAGGACACACAATAGACTGTGTGTGTCGACCCACTCATCTTTGGAAAGTGGAGTGCAGTTTTATGGACATGTGGTTTGCATTTGCACTGAGCAAGAATGGAGCTCCTAAACAGAAAGACCGCATGGCCTTTGTAGGGTTTTTACTAACTTGTAGAATATGTGGAGAAGGTAAAAACAATGCACACACCGTTTTTGTAGACATGGTTGGGGGGTTTCCGGATGTCAGACAGGATCACATTGAATTTTCCAAATCTCCTCCTGAAAAAGAAACATTAGAGCGGCCAGTTTTGGTAACTCAACTAAAAAAGCTGGTCTGCGGTACAAATGACATGATCGCATGACGTCTTTAAGCTCTCTTTCATTATATATCATTTTAACAGTTGTTTCAACAGCTCACATATTACACCCCATATAGGTTTGGCTCACAGGTATCACCTTTTGGAAGTTTTTCTAATTTTTCTTTTAAATAAAATTGCTGGATTTAGGACTGGTATCACCACAGTTCACAGCAGTTTAAAAGAGGGCTGCAATGATTCATTGAGTAATTTGAATAACTCGACTATAAAAAAAACAATTTCCTTGCTTTGATGCTTTGTCTAATGCGTGACCCTGTAGTGCTCACCCACATTTGTGATCAAAAATAGACCTGCAATAGGAGAGCGCGTGTGAATTAAAGGTATGACAACATTAAGCTCACACAGCCTCCAGTGTTTCAACAAAAAGACTGATAACACAACAGCAGCAGTAAAGATGATGGTTTAATGTCACAGTTTAATGTTGAGCCGGGGTCTGTCTAAACGCGGAGTCATTACTGAGACGGTGTGCTCAGGTGGAGTGAAAGAAAAAGTTTTTTTAGCATCCAAAACAGCAGCTCTGTTCCCATAAATCACCATTATAACCTTTACTGGGAAAAAGCTAGCGCAAGTCCTTCGTCATACAACCTGATGCATCGATCACTGTTTGTTTTACACATCAAGAAAATCTACAGTATAGCTACAGAAGTTAGGTGACTCCTTACAAGCAAGCACTTGGGAAAAGTAGGAAGGAAAAACTTTTAACTTTTAACAGGAAGAATCCTCCAGCAGA